CACTATCTAGTCTTGTACAGTTCATCAGTATAACTGCCGCTAATCCATCTTATTACATCATAGTGACAGAGTTTACAACACATAAGGAAATCACATCAGATTACAAAGTGGTACACAATCATACAATACTGGGAATCATCACCCAACCAAGTTGACAGATATTTTTGGGGGATACAGTTCAATCCTTGATACAAGCCCACTACTACAGGCTCAATCTGCCCTCCTTTTGGAAAAGTAGATAATTACTATGAACACTGTTTATTAAAGATCTTTGGCCTCTGGTTTACTTAAAATACTTCCAATTGCTACCCCTTCCTCCCCTGGGTATCTTTCTCTATAGGATCCAAACTCAATGATTTAAGACACAGTTTGCTGACAGCAGGTCCTGAGAACCCATTATAAAAATGAAGACAGCAAACAACCTTTGAATGTATTTCTCAATTTAAAAAGCCTTCATTACGTTGCACATTTAAGGCTGAGGAAGTTAAAAATTTATCATAGTTTCAGTAGTTGTAGCTTCCTCTGGATACAAATCCAACGCTTGGCACGATGTGGAATCATTTGTGAAATGTGTATTTTGTTTGGCACTCGGTAGGAAGCTTGCCAGGCAATACATTTAATTAAGAACATGAGGAAGAGAATAAATGTGACCTGTCATAGTGTATTATTGTCGCTTAAAGTTCTACATATGTTTAAGATAGTGAGCTCATAACAAGGTACATACTTAAAGCTAGAGGTAATTTTCCTTTCATCAGCCCAGAATTTTTATATGGGGAAATATGTTATTTTGAGGGGACTGGTACTTTAGTTTATTCCTTAGATAGAACTCTTCGTCCATTGTTTAAGCTAAGAGAGTTCGCTTCTCTCCTTAGAAACAACCTTTGTTTATTGTTTAAGACCTTGAAAATTGATGCTTAGATAGCTTTATTCAAGCTTACCTTTCTCTGGAGATGCATAGAAATAATGAAATGCAATGCCTGTCTTGAACGTATCCATGTATATACCATCCAGTCCTGCCTAATGTGTAAAGTAAATTTAAGAAGATCAAGTCAAATAAAGTATTGCAATGATTAATGTTGATTTTTTTTTTTTTTTTAATTACAAAGCAACCTGTGTCAGCAGATTCAATGAGGAGAATTGTGATCTAATCATCTTCTGAGGCTAGGTTTCCATTGCATTAGTTATGTTGTTTAAGTTTTACATGAAAACTTGTGTTTAATGAATTTGATTGGCTCCATGGAAAAGGTACAGAGCACTGGTGGCACAGTGGTTAAGAGCTCAGGCTGCTAACCAAAATGTCAGCAGTTCAAATCCATCAGCCACTCCTTGAAAACCCTATGGGGCAGTTCTACTCTGTCCTACAGGGTCGCTATGAGTCGGAATCTACTCAACGGCAATGGGTAAGGTAATGGAAAAAGTACAATGTAAGGGCCTTTTTTGCACATATAGGACACACACATTTTGGTGTTCAGGTTTTGGGGTATAGAATTTTCTGATCATTTAGGCTTACAGAAATCCACTCTGTCTTTTCTCACTATATAATGTTATTCTCCTTAGTGAACAAAGATTTTCCTCTAGTAACAAATATCTCATCAGATTTTACATTAGGGTATCTACCCTCAAAGCCAGTCAGAAGTGTAATTAAAGACATGAACAAGAACTGTTTCACTCCCCTTCTAACCCCATGGTACATGGGTCTCTCAAAATCTTCCCTTTCCAACCCTGACTAGCTTATTCCTCCTCTCACCTCCCTCACTACCCACATGCCCTCCCACTCTCCCTCTCCCCATCCAAATTGCTTCAGTGAAGGATTCTTTCAGAGACCCAGTCTCTTCTTAGGACAAAGGACAGAAGTCAAATAAGTAGAATTCTGACAGTGGACAGTGAGTGTGGTGGTCATTTTTGTGTTCCGGGTGGCTACCATGATTCCCCTTCTGTTGGTTACAGCACCTGAATTTCCATTAGGAAATAACAATGCCTTATATTCTTCTGTCTTGATGGGATTGCAAACCAAGCTGCCTTTTAGATACTCCCTCCCTGGAGTGCAGCAGAGAGGTAGGCAAATATCCTAAGCCAGATAATGAGAATTTCTCTTCCTGGGACCAGGGCTTAACATTTATTCAGCCCAAATCTTCTCCCTGAAAAGACTGTTGAGTTTTTCCTGTTATGTAGATCCCTGCTACTGTGCTAGTTCTTTTCAGCACCTGCTTCTCTAACCCAGCTATTAATTTTATAAGCTAATTAATATTCTTTTAATGAATTTATTTTTCAGACTAAATTAAGCCATTTCTATTACTTTCAACTGCAGAACCATTACTGAGACAGCGATCTTAGTTAAAATCTTTAAACAGTTTGTACTGCTATATGTGATATAGTTTCATTATAAAAATAAGTATAATGAAGGACAGAATATATATGCCACAAAGGAGATAAAAAGTTCTACTGGGTTTCAGAAGAAAGAAAAAGCCCATGCTTTTAGGGGCCCTTGTAATGGACCTCAATAGAGGGTTAGAAATTAAACAGAAGGAAATAGGGAGAGGTGTGGCCTAAGTGGACAGTACAGTTACATTCATTTATGTTATCATTCTGTTATCTTTCAGGAAAAAAGTATGGAAAAAAAAATCTCCTTATCTTATCCCAGTCCAATTGCACACATCTCATACCTTTAAAGAGTGGAGCCCAGGGTAAAAAGATCTATTTATGAAGGTGTTTGACTACCCTTTTGCAACAATATTGTCAAAACCAGTACCCATTTTCATTTGCAAAAATGCTGCTCTTATATAAAAAAATCAGCAATTCAAGAAACAAATGGCAAGTTGCTCCAAAAATGTAATAAGTGCCCTTCTTTCTTTTTCACCTGCCTTGTCAAATTCTGAAACAAGGGGTTAGAACTGGTTTTTCCCAGTTCAGTCATGGTCAAGGAAGTGAAGCCAGAAGCGATCCAAATTTTTAAAATTCGAGTGAATGAGAATGATAATTGGAATGGGAAAAATTACGGGTTGAATCCCTTCTAGAAACCTAATCTTCCTCTTAGAAAACAAGGGCAGCATACATGTTGCATAGCAACCAAATCTCTTGCCTGTCAGATTTTGAGTAGGGCAGGAAACAGCAGTGCCCTGCTCAAAGATGGCAGCTGACTGCGCCACTCTGAATGTGTGTCACTTTCCAGTAATCTAGTCTCAATGCATCAGGCTCCTGAAAGCACTCACTACGTCTCTTCTGAGTCTCCCATTCCAGGGCTTTGACCCATAATTTTTTCCCATTCCCGTTATTGTTCCAGATCACCCAAACTGCAAAAATTCTGGTCTGTTTGGTTTTACTTCAGCAGCCATGACTGAACCGGTTCAAACTGGTTCAAAGCCTTGCCTGAAACAAATCCAACTTTTATTCCCTGGCACTAATAACTGCAAAAAGAACTTATATTTTTGGATACTTACTTTGTTTAAAGGAATTTTCTAAGCACTTTGTCAAAATTAATTCAATTCTTATTTATAATGACTCTATGTAGTAGTGAGGGCTATTATTATCACTGAGGAAACTGAGGCACAGAGTCATTATTTATCTTACTTAACTTACACAGTTAGTAAGCAGATGTTTTGGGAAACAGTCCAGGTAAGTGTGACTTCAGATTCATGCACTTAACTACTATCTTATATTACCTATCTCTTTACTCTAGGAAGAAGAAAATGTTTAGAAGCAAGTAAACAGACTCAGCAACAATAGGAAAAAAAAAAAAACAAAAAACTGTTGCTGTTGAGTCAATTCTGACTCATGACAACCCTGTGTGTTACAGAGTAGAACTGCTCCATAGAGTTTTCAAGGCTGTGACCTTTCAGAAGCTGATCACCAGGGCTTTCTTCCAAGGTGCCTCTGCGTGGGTTCAAACCACCAACCTTTATGGTTAGCAGTCAAGAACTTCACCATTTGTGCTATCCAGAGATCCTAGGAAGAATAGAAATGGTCATAAATAAGCATGCAAGGAAGAATAAATGAGTAGGCTTCTTGTAGTTCCCACTGCTTTTCAGGATAAATAGAGGTTAGACCTCTCAGCCTTTTTGTGCAAGACAGTTCCTCCCTTTCTCCTATGTCCAAAGCAGGAGGTTTAGGTGGGAAAATTGAGGGACAAACAGCATGAAATGGGTGGGAAAAATCATGTGGATTCACCCCGGTCCACCATTCTACACTTCTACCTGGAGACTTCCCTTGACTCATTGAATCCGTGTATACGGATTGGCCAATGTGCAGCAGCTAATTTTACAACATATATGTCTTCAAAATGAAACTGGATTATTTGAAATGGACAAATGTCACATTATATCATCACTTCTTCCAAATCGTCCCCAGGCCTAATTAATTCTGACTAGGAAAGTATTTTTACCATTTCAGTAATGCAGTCAGCCTTTTCTCTTTTAGAATAAATGGATTCACTCAGGGAAGGCTTAGGATATCTCCTCTTTAAAGCAGAAAGGACCACTGCCAAGGCAACTGAGAGAAGAATTGAATGTAACATCCAATGTTAATGGCCCTAGGTCATACATTTCTTAGGCCTGGACTTTCTAGGTTTGCATTAATAGTGGAGGAGAGCGTGTGATGAAAACAAAATGAATTAGCTGAAAGACTAAACAGGGATTAAAAAGAGAATTAAAAATAGCACTACTGATCAAAATGCATTATTGGACTTTATGATGTCAAAAATATCACGTTTCCTGTTAGAAAAAATACCCATCTTGAGGTATCCTCATTGATGAAGGATATCTCTAGGCTTAGGTTTACTATAAGGAATACCTAGGAAGGAAGACCGAATGGAGTCCATCTAGTAGTATTACCTGAATCCTAACACCACACACCTTCATTTTTTTCATTTAATGCTGGAGATGGATTCTAACTAGAGCTTGTCCAAGATCCAAGTATGCAAAACCAGTGGCCAGTACTTTGGGTTTCAAATCTTAACATATCTCACCACGAACCACTGCAATTAACATATATTCTTTTCTTTTCAGGGGAAAAGGGCCACTAAAGCACACAACTGATGTGATCTATGCAGCTAAAATGATATCCGAATCAGGATCAAGGATGGATGTCCTTGCTCGGCAGATTGCTGACCAGGTAAGTTCTTAACAATGGGTACGGTGAAAGTTCATGCTAATTGCTCTCCAAATTCAAGTTTGGTTAGAACAAGGTTGGCTTTTTACCCCATTGGATGAGTTTTTAAAAATTTTAATTGGTTTCTTTAAAATTGTTATTGCATAATTAATATACAGGTAGTGAACAATTAATTCTAAGGAATAATTACCTCAATTAATTTTAGGGAAAATATTAAATATCAGCTTTTTGAACTTCAAATACACTCAAGTTATCTTAATTGGTTGCAATAATCAAACTTAGTTTTTCTTTTTTCCTGGATATCTTAGATTTTTTATTTTTGCTCTTTGAAAATTTATACTTTTCAAAATTATTTTATATTAGGTTTTCCTGCATCATAGAAATATATATATATATATATGTATATATTCCAGTGTTCAATGTAAAATTTCAGGAAAAATAGTGATTAGTAGCATATTGAAGTGGAGATATAAAATGCTGACAGTATATAATCCTCATAGCAACTGATGATAAAGTTTTCTAAATACTTTCATTTCTTTTCCTTAGATTTCTCATGTCTTTATTCCAATTTTCTAAGCAGCAGCTATATTACTAAAACTACCTTATACCTAACTTTAATTGAAAAATCTGTAATTTCCATTATTCGGTATATTGAGGAATTCAACTAATATTTCAGAAGGGGGCATAGTGTTACTTTGCAGTTTTAATATTATTCAAATTCATAATACAAATTTATCTCCCTTTGGCGGGGGAAAAGCACTTTTCTTTTTTACTTTGCACTACTGCATGTTATTTTTTCTTATATCCTTTGAGGAAAACTTTATTGGGTTGCTTCTTATCGTGATTACATACCATTATTCTCTCTATATTCTGTATCTTGAAACATGAATACTTTCCTCTGTTAGATATTATGTTTCTGAATATAACAAAGGAGAACCAAAAAAAGAATAATAATAACAAATATTATTTTAAAATATGCCGTGTGTGTGTGTGTGTGTGTGTTGTTGAGTGCTGGCCCATCAATTCAGACTCATAGTGACCCCATATATCAGAGTGGAACTGCCCCACGGGGTTTTCTGGTTAGCAGCCAAGCACTTAACTATTGTGCCACCAGGGCTCCTCGTATATAAATATGTATATACATATATTTTTTTTTTTCAGTATCTTGGCACTTTTAAGATTATTAAAGCATTATAAATATTTTATTGAGTAGAACTTCCCCATAGAGTTTCCAAGGAGTGCCTGGTGTATTCGAACTGCTGACCTTTTGGTTAGCAGCCGTAGTCCTTACCCACTATGCCACCAGGGTTTCCACACAGACCATAGGCATACAAAATTATATATATACATATACATAGTTAGAATGGTTTAATTCTATAAAGTCGCAGAGTCAGAGTTCATATGTAGGGAGAATAAATGAAAGATCAGTTGATGTTTCTAATTCCACCTGCCTGCCTTTCTTTTTTTCTGCCTTCTCTTCCTTGCTTCCTTGAACAGATATTTATTGTCTGGTTGTTTTTGTTATTGTTAGGTGCCATCAAGTGGGTTCCAACTCATAGGAACCCTACGTACAACAGAACGAAACACTGCCCAGTCCTGTAGACGATGTACAATTTAGTAACCTGGCATTGCCATTAACTAGAGATGACTATACTTTTCTGTTTAAACGTCCAGAATCCTTAATGCAGGCTTATTTGCCACAGTCACCCAACATCTCTTGGGCCGCAGATTTGTTTCAGCATGGAATGGATAGCTTAAATATGCCATGCAAGACTATATATATTTAATTCCTGTAGAACTCTGGTACAAATTCTGTTCCCACTACGCACTATATTCCTGAACGGTAGTGTGTTGTTAACTATCATAATTCTTAGACATTTTACTCATGATTAAACAGGATAACAAATGGAGGAGGTACCCTTCCTAGAAATCCAAGATTCCAGACTCCTAGTACACATGTATTTCCTCAGCTCTATACTGTAATTCATCATGTTACCAGATATTCTAAATTAGATGAAGTGGCTAGCATCTCATAAGGTAGGAATAATACACAGAAACATCTCAATTAGCTATAGAAGTAATATGCCCCAGATAGGTAGACCTTGATTAGGAGGAAAGTAAAATTAGCATCTGCTAGAATGTTTTGAACAGGAAAGAACAAAATTGAACTTTGTGAACCCTGAGGGGTGAGCCTAAGGCCTAATCACTCTTTCATTGTAATTTTGCCAAAGATATGCAGGTAATGACTGGGTACTCCCACCTAATCATAGCTGAATAAAATTAAAATGAATTTTCAATGTTAAATACATTGGCAGTCAATGCTAATTCAAGAAAAAAAATGACAGTTTAAAAATAAAGAATTACAATCCAAATCATTCACAGTGTACTCAATTATGAGCAAAACAACCCTCAAGTATAATTTATATTGGTATTTGGACAAAATATTGTTGATTACTAGCTTTGCTTTTGAATTGATTCTCTGCTGATGTTGTAAGAGTCAAAATGTTTTATTGTAATAAAAATATATTGAAAAGCAACTTCTCTCACATTCATTACATCTTTGTAACATATATTTGAAGGATATAATTCCTGGATACATCTTGTGAAAATGTGTGTATTTTGGTGCAAGTGTGTATCTGAAATTTATTTCGAGCATAGATGTTAGTACCTAAGTATATTCTCAAGATTAATGAACCACTTTACACAAATAAATGTGTAACAGAGTCTCAGAATTTAAATAGAACTAACGAGATGCTGAAATATATGATCTGTTTGCATCTTTGAAGAAACAGTCTCCTGTTTAAAGGCAGTTTTACTATTCTTCCTGTTTATTAGAAGGCAAGGTATGAACAAAAGAAGAAAGATAATTACAGGACTGAGGGAGGTTTTTGTTTTGAAAGACTTGAGCACGTTGATAGAATTAAAGAAAGGAAAAGGAGACATTAAAGGAGTACAGAAAACGATGGGATAATTGATGATCTGTGATCCTGAGAAGGTTCCTGAATGTGACAGGCTCTAGGCTGGAGGACAGGTATAGATATGAGCCCTGTAGGAAGAGAAAGGTCATGGACACTGAGTGCTCTTGCTGTCACCTTAATTGATTAAAATGTTTATCCTAGAAATTCACAATGACACTTAATACCTTTTATCAACAAAGTCTGCGAGCACAGCAGAATTCAAACTGCTGTCTATAATTTCAAAAGTCATTTTAAATGTGTCTTAAAGCTAATTCTCCAATATGTAAAAAAAAAAAAAAACCAGCTAAGAATATGGACTAAGTCTTTGAAAGTGTTCACTTTGCTAATCTTCCCTCAAAATTCAAAGCAATAGGTAATACTTGTCTTCACCTTTGCTCTCATTACTAAACTATGTACTCTCTATTGGCACTCTGTCTTACTAGAAGAGTGAAAGCAGGCTTACAGTGAGAAAACCACTTAGGCTGACATGCCATCTGCTTGCCTGCGGTGGGTGTCCCACTGGTTATAAAACTTAGATTAAAAAAAAAAAAATCCATGCATTAAAGAGCTAACCAGATGTCCTGGTCAACAACTTTTGTCTCAAAAAAAAAAAAAAAAAAAAGAAATAATAACCAAAGCACGTTATGGTATTCTACCGTTTGATTTGCCTAAAATTGCTTAGCAGTAATCCTTTAAGAGTTATTTCTGTGTAAATCTATTAAATGCAAGGGATGTCCAACATTTTTCTATAACCCTCATGTAAAAATATAAAAAGGTGCCCTGGTAGTGCAGTGGTTAAACATTCGGTTGATAACCAGAAGGTCGGCGGTTTGAACCCACCAGCTGCTCTGTGGGAGAAAGGTGTGGCAGTCCGCTTCAGTAAAGATTTACAGCTTTGGAAACCCTATAGGGCAGTTCTACTTTGTCCTATAAGGTCACTATGAGTCGGAATTGACTTGATGGCAATGGCTTAAAAATATAAAAGGTGAGGAAATATTATTTGATTTTAATAAAAAAGGTTTGACAAAGTAGTAAGGCATTCTTAAAGTAGCAATGATTCATTCTAGGCAGCCAAAACCAAATGAGAAAAGCTTTCCAAATGTCAATGGGAAAGAAGGCTTTCATAGATTTTATAGTATGGGGAATATACCTATGAGTATGTTTTTTTCTGCTACAGTTGTAAAAGTGACAGCCACAGTTAGGTGGAATCAAGATTCTCATCAATTTTGGAAAAGAAAAATAAATCTGGGTCAAGTAACAACTTTTCAAAATTTCAACTTCAAACTTAACACTCATTTGAGTCATTCTTTTCTTAATGCAATGCTAGATTGTTCTAGAATGAGCTTGTGAAAGGAAAACAGCATGCTGTGCTTAAACTTGAGTGATTGTACCATTGGTTATTAATTAAGAATGTAATCATTAGTTTGCAAGTTCCATTTTACCAGAAGTTTTGTACAGAGAAACCTGTGAGACACAGAACTTCATAGGACTGCGTTGTTTTTCTGGGGCTCTCAAATTTTCCACCTTTCTGAGTGGCGTCTACGGTCTTAAAAGCTAGCAAGCCACCATCTAAGATTCATCAGTTGGTCACAACCACCTCAAGTAAAGAAGAATGAAGAACACCAAAGACACAAGGAAAGTATTAGCCCAAGAGACAGAAAGGGCCCCAGAAACCAGAGACTTCATCAGCCTGAGACCAGGAGAACTGGATGGTGCCCAGCTACCACCAATGACCACCCTGACAGGGAACACAACAGAGAGTCCCTGATGGAGCGGGGGAAGGGTGGGATGCAGAACTCAAATTCTAGTCAAAAGACCAGACTTAATGGTCTGGAAAGCATGGCCCCCGGACTCTCTGTCAACCCAGAACTGAAACAATTCCCAAGGCCAACTCTTCAGTCAGAGATTCAACTGGACTATGGGACATAAAATGATACTAGTGAAGAGTGTGCTTCTTAGTTCAAGTAGATACATGAGACTAAATAGGCAGCTCCTGTCCAGAGGTGAGATGGGAAGGCAGAGAGGGTCAGGAGCTGGTTGAATGTA